TTCGGTTTCGATTTCGTCTATTTGTTCGAACCGGTTCGGCATAAAACCGATATTTTTGGACTTTCATTATATTTATTAGAGAAAATTAACAAATAACAACCAAAAATTAAATAATAAAAAACATGTCACAATCCAAAATTAATTACTAGAAAAACATGTCACATGGAGGCGCTCGAAAGATAGAGGCACGTAAGTGTAAGTATTTATACTATATATTAAAAAAAACATTATTTTGTATACATCGGTTCGGTTCGGGAAATCGGTTCGGTAATTTTTTTATTCTACATACACAAACCGATATATTCGGTTTTCAAACAAAATTAACCGTATATGCGGTTTTAAGTCGGGACGGTATATATCGGCTCGATTTTTTCGGTTTTCGCGGTTTCTCGATTTTTTTGCTCACCCCTAGTTTTTGGAGAAAAAAAAAACCCCCCATAGTTTATGGCTTGATTTGGCCCTACACGTTAGGTAGGACCGCCTATTTCTTGTGTCACACATTATTTGATTTAGGGCAAATTACCAAAACCCCCCTGAGGTAAGCCTAAATAACGAAAATCCCCCCCATGTTCTCGTAATTACGAAAACCCCCCTGAGGTATGCAGACGTCTTACAAATCGCTCTAACGGTGTTAGACTCGATAGAATCTTTTTGATTCTCCCGAATATTCCTCCGATAATACCAATTTTGCCCTTGTACACGAAATTAACCTTAGGGGGGTAATTGTAAGCATTTTATTTAAGGGTTAACTGCACATATTCATCTTCTTCGTCTTCTTCGTCCACCACCACGTATCAGACACACCACCAAACACAAACCAGGCAATCATAATATCTCACAAATCAAACACCAACCACCACAACCTCTGATCCGCCGCACCACCCCCACCACCACCGAACCAATTTCAATCCATCCCCCCATATCTGCTAGTTCGATTTCGAAAAATCTGCTATTTAATCCGCCCCTTCACCATCACAAGGCAAAGAAATTGGGTTTTTTTCGCCGGTGCTCCGGTCTCAAAATTTGACTGCCGGCTGGTGGTTATTTCTTTGCCGCAATCAATCAACGGGTGACGGCGGCGGCGAATTGCAGTGGTGGAAGCAACCCATTTGGTGGAAATATGACACTGTAGCAAGGGATATACCTTCCGCCGTTGAAACCTTCGGCGGCGGTCCATCAATTTCAGCCCCAAACCAAATTTTTTTCTTTGAATCAGAGTTTGAATCCGCCCGAGGAATTTGAGTTTTTGGAATCAAAGCTTAATCAACAATACAGTCCTCAATTTGTTGTTTTTTTTTCGGGAGAGAGAAAGATTGATTAATTTGGTGTTTCGGTGTGATGTGCTTTCGGGTTATAGTCCTTAATTTTCGATGGACGATGAAGCAGAGGCGGCAGGCGGCGGTTTGAGGGCTGAAATGGATGAAGAGTAATTTGGTTGGGCCGGTGGTGACGGGATAAGTTTGGTTGGGGAAGATGCCCTTTTTCAAATAAAAAAATAAAAAAATTATAATATCAAATTATCAATACAAATTACAAAGTAATAAATAAATTTATAAAAGCAATAAATCATCAAGTGAAAGGGATGTCAGGGGGGATTTTCGTTATTTAGGCTTACCTCAGGGGGGTTTTGGTAATTTGCCCTTTATTTTTTACATATTTAACAGAAGGATATAATAGACATTTCACGTTTTCGGTTAAAAAAATTCGGTCAACCGTTAGTCAAGGGGGGTTTTCGTAATTACGAGAACATGGGGGGGATTTTCGTTATTTAGGCTTACCTCAGGGGGGTTTTGGTAATTTGCCCTTTGATTTATTATCAAGGGCGAATGGCAAAAAGGCCCATCACATGGGACTTAAATGCATTTTGGTCCCCACAAAAAAACAGTCTCTCAATCAAGCCCATCCCCATGTCTTTAGTCTAAAATACCCTCAATAATATAATTCTTATCAATTCCACCCATTATGCTCTAACTTTCTTAATATTACACATTGACCCCGTATTTAAACAAATATATCACATTAACACCCAAAACATTTTTTTTTCAAAAAATAATTTTTTTTTTCTGAAATATTTTTTCTCCGGCCAGATTCCGGCGTTGACCGCCGGAGACCGCCGGTCTCCGGCGTTTTCTATTTTTTTTTTTTTTTTGAAATTTTTTTTTTCCTGAATTTTTTTCCGGCCGGTCAACCACCGTTGACTGCCGGTCTCCGGCGTTGACTTTTTTTTTTATTTATTTATTTTTTTTCTTAGAAGAAAAAAATATTTTAATTAATATCACTGTTTTAGCTACTAAATTACTGTCTCAGACAGTAATATTACTGTTTGGGACAGTAATATTATGAATATTATTTTTCCGAACAGTAATATTATGAGTATTATTTTTTCGAACAGTAATATTATTAATATTATTGTCTAAGACAGTTAAATTACTGTTAAAGACAGTAATTTAGCATCTAAGGCAGTACTATTAATTAAAATATTTTTTTTAAGAAAAAAAATGAAAAAAAAATCAATTAACAGTTAAATTACTGTCTCCGACAGTTAAATAACTGCGGGAGACAGTAATTTAGCAAACGAATACAGTAATATTAATTAAAAATATTTTTTTTAACAATAAAAAAGTCAATTAACAGTTAAATCACTGTCTCCAATAGTTAAATAACTGCTGGAGACAGTAATTTAGCAAGATACAGCAATATTAATTAAAGGGTAAATTACAAACACCCCCCTGAGGTATGGTCAAATTACAAAACCCCCTCTTGTTTGGATAATTACATCTAAACCCCTCAACTATGATTTTTTCTTAGACCTCCACCTTAATGGTGCCAAATTCAACATAGTCATCTAGATTCCATGAAATGTGATCTAGTTTGTACTCTTTTTGTGTAAAAAATACAGTTTTCGATGCACCACAAACTGATATATACAAGCTAAAAATCACATATTATGATCATCTTGCTTCATAATGTAGAGTTTGAATGGGATGAAACGGGTACAAAAGTGATAATATTCTATATAATCTCGAAGATTCCACTAAATTTGATGAGTTGAGGGGGGTGGTTGTAATTATTCAAACAAGATGGGTGTTTTTTGTAATTTGACCATACCTCAGGGGGTGTTTGTAATTTACCCATTAATTAAAATATTTTTGAAGAAAAAAAAAAGTCAATTAACAGCTAAATTACTGTCTCCGGCAGTTAAATAACTGTCGGAGACAGTAATTTAGCAGCCAAGACAGTAATATTAATTAAAAAAAAAATTAAGTAAAAACAAAATTATAAAAAAAAAAAAAAGGTCAACGCCGGAGACCGGCGGTCAGCGCCGGAATCTGGCCGGAAAAAAAACATTTCAGAAAAAAAAAATTCTGAAAAAGAAAAATTTGGTGGGTTAATGAGATATATTTGTTTAAATCCGGGGTCAATGTGTAATATTAAGGAAGTTAGAGCATAATTGGTGGAATTGATAAGAATTAGGGTTAAAATTGGGGTCAAAATTGAAATTAGGGTTAAAATTGGTTAATTGATGAAATTGGGCTAAATTGGGGTGTAAATCATGAAATTGGAGTTGAATTGGGTTTCAATGAATTGAAGGTAATTTTGGTATAGATGAAAGTATTTTCCTTATTTGCAAATAAGTTTGAATGAGTTGGATTTATTTGAAAGACAAAAAAATTAGATGTCCCTCTTTTAATTAAGTGCCCTTGTCATGGGTCTATTTGCCATTACCCCTATTATCAATGTTTTGAAAACCGGACCGGACCGGCCGGTCCGATTGGTTTAATCGAGAACCGGTAGCTAGTCCGGTCCGATCCAACCCCAAACACCGAAAAGACCAAAAACCCGGGTCACTTGCTTACTTAGTGGAAAAACCGTGGTTGAACCACCAAAAACCGGATTTTGCAGAAAAAGGAGAAACATGCAAAAATTATTTTGCTTCTCTGGAATTTTTTGAATGAATTTGCGTGAAAGATTGACAACAAATCATAGTGGTGAATTAAAGACTCACTGGCAAGAAAGTAGAGACTCACTGTAGCTATGTACCGGAAGGAAAGAAGAAGAAAGGACTATCAGAATTTTAAATTTTTCTTTTTCTTTGTATTACTCATTTTCTTTTTTTTTTCTTTTTTTTTTTCTTTTTTGGTTCGATTCATTTTTTAACTTTTTTCTCAGTCTCATTATTTCACTTTTTTAATTAGTTTTTCTTTTTATTTAAATTATGGAATGTGTTGCCCATGTGCATTTGTACTTTTGATCTTCGGTATTTAAATTTTGTTGCTTGATAATTAGTTCAATTGAATATTTAGGTTGATTTTTGATAATTAGTAGGCCATTTTCAATTTATTTTTACAGTATTGTTATATTAAATTAAATATAAATAATAAAAAAAAATGTTCAAAAATCCGGTTGAACCGTCCAACCGTGACCCAGTTGGCTAGCCGGGTCAATGTTCGGTCCGGTTTAAAAAACAGCTTTTGGGTTGTAGTTGCTCTTATTATTGATCTGTAAAAGGAATCTATTGGTTAAGTGGGGTTCTTGATGTAAGAGAAGAAAAATGAATAGTAACATATATAGCAGCAAGGAAACTTCAACTTCTAAACATTTTCGCATTCTGGATACGTTTTGTATCCGATGCTCGAGGATACATGTAAAATAACTATGGGCCATTTTGCAATTTGTGAAAAGTTAGAAATATATTTGAAATTAATTTTTCGTGACATGCAAACAATGCAAACTTTTATAATAAACAATCTTTTTATATTTAAAACATGAAGTCACAATCACGGAATCCTGTTTTCCGAGATCGATGACGCTTGTAAAAGCTTTTAGAAAATTATTTTGAATAATCTATTTTTTGGTGGTTGCAAAATCAACTTTTTATTTGTATTTCTCTTAAAAATAAGTTGTTTTAAGCTATTTTGTAAAAGGACTGATAGATCTTTTTTTCTATTTAAGTTTATTTGCATCGTACATGGTGAAAAAAGATTTTGCAGACATCAATGACCTTTGCACAACTTTTGCAACAGTGATAGTACTATAGATAAGTGCATTATTTGTACGTTGGATCATTATTTTCCAATAGAATCTCTACATTTCTTGTAAACAACTCGAACCTCTTAAGAAACATGGCTCTAATCTGCAATCTTTCTCATTGTACTTCAATTTTTCTCAATAAATTTGCATGTTCGAGGAAGAAGAAACTCTGCCGGATTGCCTGTGGAGCTACCGCTCGTCAAAATTGGAGCATAAATCCGGAACCCTCAGAATATCGAAATAAACACCTTTTTCGGGTTAAGTTGTTTGTTATTCCACTCATTTTGAAGTTCATATGACTAATCTAATGCCTCTTCTTTTTTTTTCGTTTCTTTTTTCCGTTTTTGTGCAGGTTGATCATAAGTTTCCCATCAACTACGAAAACAAACTAGAGGAACTACGACACTTACTCGTCAAGCCGGCAGTCAAAGAAGAATATCCGATAGAAAGTTTGATCTTGGTTGATGCGATCCAACGGTCAGGAATCGGCCACCATTATCGAGACGAGATTCACACGATTCTCACACGCTACTACGTGAAAAACCCCAGAGATAGCAGTAGTAGTACTATTCACGATGCTGCGCTTTCTTTCCGTTTATTAAGACAACAAGGATGCCACGTTTCTGCAGGTATATATTCTTCGTCCCCCCCGGTTTTTCGTGCAAGAAACGAACTAATATTATATTTCATCTGCAGAAGTGTTTAATAATTTCAAAGGGAAGTTCAGAGGAGAAGTAAGACAAGATATCACGGGATTGTTGGAACTGTACGAAGCTACACAGTTGGGTTTCGAAGGAGAAAACATACTCGTCGAAGCAGAAGATTTCAGCAGCAAGCTTCTCCGCAAATGCGCAGAAGAAATCGAGTGCAGCAAATGGTCTCGACATATTAACACGAGACTAAAGCACCCTTGTCACAAGAGCATAACAAGATTCACAGAAACGAACAACTTCCTACTAGTAAGATCGGATCTACGTGGCGGGGCCGTAAATAGCTGGGAGAAACCATTAATGGAGCTAGCTGAAGTTGAACTGCTCTTGGCAAAACCTATATACCAAGAGGAACTTCTCCAAATTCACAAGTGAGAAGCAAAAAAAAAAAAAAATAGTGCACCTGTACATATATAGTTCGTTTTCTTACATATACATATATTTTTCGAAAAAAAATATTTGCCGTTTTTTAGGTGGTGGGATGGTCTAGGATTAACAAAGGAGCTAAAGTTAGCAAGAAACCAGCCATTAAAATGGTACACATGGTCGATGACTGCACTGATAAATGATATCCGATTGTCGAAGCAGAGAATCGAGCTTACAAAGTTCATAGCTTTTATTTACTTGATAGACGACATTTTCGATCTTTACGGCACACCAGATGAGCTGGCTGTCTTCACAGAAGCTGTAGACAAGTATGTAGTAACTATATATATATATATATATATATATATATATATATATATATATATATATATGATATGATATAATAAATATATTGATCACTGCAATAAATATGATGTCTGTATATGTAAATACATATATAGATGGGACTATGCTGCAATAGATATGCTGCCTGAATACATGAAGATGAGCTACAAGGCCCTTCTCGATACCGTAAACGAGATAGCCCGTATGATCTTTGAAAAGCATGGACACAACCCTATTAATACCCTAAAAGAAACGGTACACACACACACATATATATATATATATATATATATATATATATATATATATATATATACTAAATATTTTTTCGTGATTATTAATTATTTATTTATATCAGATAATAATTGATCACCATACTATGGCAGTGGTTAAGTTTGTGCAAGGCATTTCTAGTGGAAGGAAGGTGGTTTGCCGACGGGGAATATTTGCCGAGTGCAGAAGAGTATTTGTCCAACGGCAAAGTGAGCTCGGGTGTGCATGTAGTGTTGGTTCACTTATTCTATATTTTAGGTCTTGGTGGGACCCACAACCAAGGCGCAATCCTTCTAGAAGAAAACTCGACGCTCATATCAAGTGTAGCTGCAATTCTTCGTCTTTCGGACGATTTGGGTAGTGCCAATGTATGATGATCTATACTTATACATATGCGTATAATACTTGATTAATTAATAGCTAATAATGTATGATTATAATTCATTAATAGGATGAGCAACAAAACGGGAAGGATGGCTCGTACATAGAGTACTACATGAGAGATAACCGTGGTTTATCGTTGAAGCAAGCGCGTGAGCATGTAATAAACATGATAGCAAGTGAGTGGAAGCTTCTTAACAAGGAGTGTGTTGATATAAATCAGTTTTCGGCAGAGTTGTCGTTTTATCGAGAAGCTTGTCTTAATCTTGCAAGGATGGTGCCCCTCATGTATAGCTATGACGACAACCAGAGACTTCCGATTCTCGAGGAATATGTCGATTTAATGTTGTTAAAGCCAAAGTCATCGGAGCACCATTGAACAAATAAAGCACTAGCTAACTCGAGAGCAACTTGTGTTTGGGCATATGCATATATAAAGTGGTTTTTTGTATGTATAATATAACTTTTAAGTAATAAGCAAAGATATGTAATCATAAAACCATGATTGAAAATTAAAAAAGAGACAAAAAAAAATTTAAAATTGAAATTGGGATCTTATAGCTTGTCGAACGGAATTTCATTCACAAAATGTAATGAACGCCCAATAGAAATCGAGATCGAATGTGAAATTCGACAAAAAGTCATAAGAGCAAAATCGAGGGAAGAATATGTAGAATAATTTGAAGCTATAAATAGTGCAAGTTTAATTCATGGATTAAATTTTTTGAAATATTAAATGTCGTTTCAATTTACTAATACCCTTTTGACTCGGAACGTAATTTGGACCATTTTTTGTCTGATTTATTGTATTTTGGGGATGCAAGGTGCTATTAATTTTTTTTCAAGGGTGCAAAGTACAAAAATACTACATTTCAAGGGTGCAAAGGCAATTCCAAAGCATATTCCCTTTTACACTGGATAATTAATTCCTTTCAAATTGGGCTTCAAACCTACTAGCTAATGGGCCTATCGATTTCCATATTATTCTGTCTATCTCAATTCGTACTTTAATTGCAAACAATATTAGAATTTTATTACATGCAGTTTATTATTTTATTATTGAAGAGATTTTTCAGTACCATATGTTTGATGAAGTAATGAGTTTTCTTCCATGGCGAATAATTTGTAAGAACTAGTATCTCACCAGTGCGATGTACGAGGATCATCTTCAAGAACAAAATTGATATTCAACAATTTAGGGGCAGAAAAAACTAATATTCCAACTTAAATATAAAACTAATATAAGTTAAGATATTGGATGAATAAAAAATCGGTCCCAAAGCAAGTTGAAATTTTATAAAAAGAATGAATAACATATTCCGTTCGACATGTATTGCAGCGAAAATTCTAGAACTAACTAAAACTAATGGAATCAAATCCACTGCACTATCTCAAAGATCCACAGATCAAACAGTACATAGCAGTTAACCTGCAAAGTTTTCGTATTTTGCAATAATACAGTGCACTACTGAAACGACAATCAGTGCGTAATTAAACAATATTTCGATTATATTACTTACCAAAAGCGACTATACCGGATATGCTAGACAAAAAAATCACTTGCAAACATACCTAAAGATAGAGAGCACATACACACATTAATAAGACAAAATATGATAATAAGTTGAATAATGGATGGCATGCATGATATATACCTTCATATACGTTGAAATACTTCTTTGTACACCACGTTGCTAGTAGAACTCGATGATTCACCGGATTCAGACTTGATTAGGATCTTTATGCCAGATCTACTCTTCACTCTCGAGAGTGCAACGTACAATTGACCGTGACTGAATACAGGTTTGGATAGATACAAACCGACGTGTGAAAGTGTTTGACCCTGACTTTTGTTGATGGTCATTGCAAAGCAAACCATCAATGGAAACTGTCGCCTCTGGAACTTAATGGGCAAAGTAGAGTTCGATGGGACCAACGTCATCCGAGGAATGAAAACAACATCACCGATATTTTTGCCGGATAGAACCTTGCAGCTAAGAACATGAACTCCCATCCTAACAACTTGAAGTCTGGTTCCATTGCACAGGCCTCTCGCCTGGTCGATGTTTCGTATAAGCATAACAAGAACATTTTCCTTCAGTTTCAGCCTATGTGAAGGGAGACCGGAGCAAGACACGGTGTTGAGGAATTCGGTCGAATATATTTCAGCATTTTCTTCCGAACTCAACTCATCCTTGCATATACTATCCGCGCTAAGGTACAACTTCTCTTCGCCGGGTAGGAGGGAACACAAGTAGTCGTTGACAGACTCTACGCAGTCATTAGTCGGTGCAAGCACTGCCCTCCCTCGGAAATAATCTGGATTTGATATGTTACTCAATAAATCCGGATACACAAACTGCAATAGCTCCAATAATGGATCTTCACAATCGGGAATTAGCATGTCCTCAGGAATCTCAACGGACGCTTCACCATCGTTATGCTCTCCCGCCTCCTCATTACCGATACTCAGTATCCAATCAGCAAACTCATTTATTTCTTTAACTTCAGATGGATTAGAGCTTGATTGAAGCCTCATATTCGTATGCAACTTAAGAACCGTACAGTCTTTCCAAAACTGAGATGAGTTGATTGTAGCGTGAACAATGTCTTGTCTTGATGCCTTCAGCACAACATGTAAAATATGTCTGAAGTCTCCGCCAAGAACGACCACCTTGCCGCCGAACGGTTTGGGAACATGCGTGATAGATCGCATCGTCTTATCTAGCGCTTCGAAACAGTATATATGCATCATCGGGGCCTCGTCCCATATGATAAGTCTCGACTTTATAAGCAATTCTACCTGCGGACTTTGCTGTGCAATGTTGCAGGTGGAACCATCGTGCACAATGATGGGCAGTCCAAATCTGGAGTGAGCGGTTCGGCCACCTGGAAGCAGCAAAGATGCTATGCCACTCGAAGCAACATTAAAAACTATTACTCCCTTGGAACGAATTGCAGCGGACAACGTTCTCCATATAAATGTTTTTCATGTTCATCCGTGACTGTAGAGAAAGTACATCCCGCCGCTATTTTTCGATACATCATCCATAATGGTATCGTAAACCTTTCTCTGCTCGTCTGTGATAGAAGATAGATATTGTTTCAGTTCTTCAGCCATCGCAAAGACGTCGTAGTCCAACTCATCGAGCACTAATCGATTCTCCGTGTCATTCGACGAATGTAGTGGCATTGGCATAGAGTCAAAATTCCGCAAGCTCTTGCGGTTGCTTTGTAGGATTTTCTCGATTTCAATCAACGCATAGTTCTTATCATGTGATAGAGTCAAACCTGCAAAAGGTATAGTTTGTAGGACAAATGCGTTCACAAAATTGAAAAATGAAACTTAAAAATTGTAAAACAACATAAAAATAATCGATACCTGGATTATTATGGCGCCTTTGGTGCTTGTATATAATGTCATCGGACAAATTCGACCAACAACTCTCCCAAACATATTCCAGTCTGCTCAAACTGTTAGAAATCAGCATAACAGCAAACAACAGTCTGAGAAAGTGGCCGTTTGCCCAACCGTACGCCTCTTTGATTGCACCAATATACTCCTTGTCATCCTCAAGCAGCCCCAAAATATAGCATGCATCCTTAAACGTCGCGTAAACATTGCCACCAACCGTTCGTATATCTTCGTAACTGGTTCACCCTCTCTGGATGTTGAGAAGTAATCTCAGATAAAAGTCTTCTCCCTTTCCTGGGGGTACAGTGGTGACTCTTCCAATAGAAAACTTTTGCTTTCTCGGCACCCACACGCGAGAATCCTCCTTGTACACATAATGTTGGGGAAACTCTCCATACCGTAATTCCCTAGCTGGTGGGTACTTCTTGTTCGCCTCGAACCACGCCAAAAACATGGTTTGCCTTGCTGTTGGTCTTTCCAGGACACTCTTTAAAGGTTGGTTCTCATTAAATATCAACGGCTGATTGTCGGGGAGATGGAAGCTCAATCTAATGACAGTGGGATCTCTGTAGTGTATATCGAATGCAAAAATCCTCCACATCGCCTCGCACGCAGATAAATATCTACAATCATAGTACATCTTGATTTCATCACATATAACAGAAGCGGTGTCCGTAGACGGAGGTTGAAAAAATGTTGCTGTGACACGATCGTGTCCTTTGTTGACGTACTTGAACAAATAGTTTATTGACTTGCTCTGGTTGCACAACTCGATGTTGATGTGGGCTCTCTATTTACTCAATAATGTACGGTTGTAAGGAACCACAAAACCATTGTCAAGAATTGTGTCTTTGTTCTTCCATCGTCCCTTCTCCTATATACAGGGTAACCATCATCATCGGCCTCAGTTCGCTGTGCAAACTTCTTTGGAAATCTTTTCGTGCAAACGCCATTCTTCATGCAAGGTGAATTCAAATTCGCATGACCGCACGGGCCGTGTATCATGTATTTCTCAACCAAGTTGTACATCTTTCGGTCAGTTTTTTTGTCAGGGATTTCTGCACAAATCATCCGGTCGATGTCGGCGGAGCACTTCGGTTTGGCATTGTTATCCAACCACAACAATATATGTGCGTGGGGCAGACCACGTTTCTGATTCGATCGTACATACGTCAGCAAAAAGAAATGATGAAGTCAAATGATATGCAAGCAATAAACCATTATTGATGTAATGAATATACCGCATATTGAATTTTTAACATTGATGCATTACTTACGCGCTCTAATTCGTCCTAAAATATGTCCCTTCTTGAAATTCGCCAGCAAACTGTCCAACTTCATTTTAAATACGCGACATAGAATATCAGGACGATCCTCCGGTCTGAGAATTGTGTCATTCAGGACCCTTTGTATTTCAGGTCATTGTGGATTGCATGTAATAGTTATGAACAACGATGGAAAGCCAATCCAATTACAAATTTGCAGTGCATCGATAAAATTGTTGAACATGTACCGCGGTCCAGGAATGAATGAGCCGGGAAGAACTATGCGCTTACCAGCTGATATGCCCTCAGTGTCCCCTCTCAAATGCGTTCTTCAATGCCTTTGTAAATGTCCACACGCAGCTGGTCTTGGTTGTATCTAATGAAATTCAACATTTGTGACTCAATCATAGAATAAGCGTCCACCCCAAACTGTTGGAACAATTTTTTTGAATTCAAAAGTACTGAACTGTCGCTGCTTCTTTTTTGGATTCGGTAAGCAAAGTATTCTCGCTATGGTTAATTTTTTTCGTTTTCCCTTGTTACCTCGAAAAGAGTCTCTCAAACCAATATCCTCTCTATAGCCGTCTTCCCCATAAGGAAATATGAGCGGATATTGGAACGGCAGGTACAGTGGGTGTAGCTCACTAATGCGTTGCAACTTCTTGGACTAAGTCTCCACCACAATGTCTCTAACCCCTTCTTGCGTATCAAAATCTCCAACTATCAACGCTGCAATTTCACTCGCGTTAGGGAGATTATAAGTCCTGCCATCGGTGCTACGACTTTTGACCAGCTTTAGCTTAACACCTTGCAGGCCTTCACTGGAAAGTAGATCCCGGGCAGCTCTATACGACTGAGCAAGTACGTTGTTCTCATCGATCATATCCTTCAAGTATGCAACAATTTGAGGATCAAGATTGTTCGAGTTATTTCCAGACCTGCAATTTCAAATGATTAAACAATTTCACTCGGCTCAAAATGCATCATATGTATTGCGAACGTAAGCACAAAATGAAATGGATTTTACCTAACAGCGTCAATTCTATTATGAACTTCATTCTCTGTATCGAAGATGTAACGTTGTGCAAATTTTGGTCTTGCGCCTTCCTCCGGCAACATACTTCCCAACAGATGATAATTCTGACCTTGAAGCAGAAATGTGTATGGTCCAGCACCAGTATTAATAGATGTTTGTACCTTTCCGCCAAGTGAAGTAAACGCAAACATCATGTTGAAAGAACGGATATTGTCTTGGAAATGTTTGCTCTGCCTATCCGTACCGAAAAGCAAATTGGCTAGAGCATGTGGGGGATTTTTCATATCAGGCAGTTGTACTTTATCTTTTTGACAACATAGAGAAAACTCTGGTCTTGATGTGTTCCTATGCTTATCAAGACGTTCAGCGGACCACATCATTGCACCACACGATTGAC